AGCCACCGTCAAGATCACATAAGATTTAGCACCTACCATGTTAAAGGAGAAAAGGGCTGGGAATATGATTTTCCAAAACGCAAAAGATTGGGATTACAACCAAGAATCACCTACCCAGCAAAATGGAATATAATCCTTCAGGAGAAAAAAAATGGACATTTAATGAAATAGAAGACTTTAAATCATTCCTGATAAAAAGGTAAGCGCCAAATAGAAATTTTGGTTTTCAAATACAGGACCCAAGAGAAGCATAAAAAGGTAAACCTGAAAGAGAAATCATAAGCGACTCAGTAAGGATGATATATGTAACATCTGAGAACTTTTATCATTATTAGGGAAATTAGAAGGATTCTACATAGAAAGAGGGTGCAGGAGTGAGTTGATTTATGTTGGAATGATGTAAAAACAAAATGGATAGGTGAGAAAAATGGATACCCTGAAAGAAGAGGGAAGGGAGAAGAAAAATGGGGGGAATCATCTGATATAAAAGAGGTATACAAGGAAGAACTTTTACAGAGTAGTGACGGGGGGTGGTGGTGGCACTACACTTGAACTTCAGTCACATCTAAATTGTGACTGAATCCAAAAGGGGAATACACACACACACACACACACACACACACACACACACACACACACACACATTGAATTGGTAATAGGCATCTATCTTACCCAAGTGGAAAGTAGGAAGGGAAGCGGATAAAAGAAAGAGTGTGATTAAAAGGGAGAATGGATAAAAGAAGATAGTGGTGAGAAGCAAAACAGACTTTAGTGGAAGGACAAGATAAAAAGAAGGATAAAATGGAAAAATAGTTTGGAGGGAAATATACAGTAATCACAACAGTGAATGTGAATGGGATGAATTCACCCTTAAAATGGAAATGGATAGCAAAGTAGATTAAAAACCAGAATCCTACAATATGTTATTTATAAGAAGCACACTTGAAGAAGAGAGACACACAGAGTAAAGATAAGGGGCTGGAGGAGAATCTATTATGCTTCAGCTGAAGTAAAAAGTTAAAAAAAAAAAAAAAAGCAAGAGTAGCAATCATATCTCAGACAAAACAAAGGCAAAAATAGATCTGATTAAAAGAAATAAGGAAGGAAATTGCATCTTGCTGAAAGGTACCATAGACAATGAAGTAATAGCAATACTAAACATATGTGCACCAAATGGTTTAGCATCCAAATTCTTAAAATTTAAATGAATTACAGAAGAAAATAAGACAGTAAAACTATACTAGTGGCAGACTGCAACCTACCTCTCTCAGAGCTAGATAAATATAATCATAAAATAATAAAGAAGTTAAGTAGATTAATAGACTCTTAGAAAAGTTAGATATGATAAACCTGGTGAAAACTGAATGCAAATAGAAAGGAGTATACCGTTTTCTTAGCTGTATATGGCACCTTCACAAAAATTGATCATGTATTAGGGCATAAAAACTTCACAGCCTAATGCAGAAAAACAAATATTAAATGCTCTTTTTCCAGACCATAATACAATAAAAATTACATTTAGAAAAGGGCTGTGGAAACATAGGTTAAAAATTAATTGAAAGCTAAAAATAATCTAATCTTAAAGAATGAGCAGGTCAAAGAACAAGTCATAGAAATAACCAATAATTTCATTAAAGAGAATGACAACAATGAGCCAACATTCCAAAATTTATATGCAGCCAAAGCAGTACTTAGGGGAAAATTTATGTCTCTGAATGTATACATCAGTAAAAGAAAGAGTAGATCAATAAATCAGGCATACAAAGCAGGCGTTGTTTAAAAAATTAAAAAAAGAAGAAATTAAAAATCCCCAATTAAATACTAAAATGAAAATCAAAGAAGAAATTAATAAAATTGAAAGTTAAAAAAATCCATTGTACTAATAAATAAAACTAGGAGTGGTTTTATGAAGGGAAGAAAAAGATAAATCATTGGTTAACTGATTTAAAAAAAAAAAGGAAACCAAACTACAAGTGTAGTGTGCTTGACACAGAGCCCATTAACACAGCCTTTGTGACCAATCCTGGCAATGTGGATAAAAAAGAAGCTATTTTAATGAGAAATATTTAGCTAAGGTTTGACTTTCTAAGAAAGGGTAGTTTGAGACATAGAGGGAAATTCAAAAAAGAGGGTATAAAATACTCAGTGATCTCATAAACTTGATAAAGAAAAGCCATATGTATTCATAGACATTCTGACATAAGTGCATAAGATGTCATCATCTTAAGCATTTTTACTCTGTTGAATCCTAAAATATTTCAGTAACATTTCCCTTTTACTAACTATCAATATTTATAAGTCATAACAGTGTGTTCACTTACATTAGTGTGCACAAGGGCCTGCCACTGAACAAAAGGTTTAGTGTCTTCCATGGCCAGATGTATAACATTCCAGAATGGAAATTAGGAAACTCTGCATAAATTACCAGGGAATAGACCAAAAGTACTGCAGTTTTGTGGGGGTTTTTTGTTTCCAAGCTTAACAAGGCAGAAAGCACATGACAAGAATTCTTGTATTGGTATATCCCATCCTTCATTATGTGTGTATACTGTTTTTCAGTTCAAGTGTTTCCTTAATTTAATTTGATAATTGATAGCATTATGCTTATTGATTTAAGTTGGCTTTGAGTATTGTTACGTTTATAGTTCCAGTGTAGTACTTTGACTTGGAATATAAAGAGTTTTCTTGATTGACAAATATGTGCATTCTTTTCTCCAATGTATGTTCGCAATTTAAGTATTATGGACAGACCTTACATAAGTGGAATTCTTGTAATAGAGTTTCCTGGTCCTTAGCAACCTACTTGGATAAAATAAATTTTTAGATTAAATCTATTTGCAGTTTTTTCTGTGGTTTGCTATACTTCTCATAAAAGTTTCTGGCTTTCCAGGTTTATACACATTTCCACAAACTACGGAGAAAAGAAAGTAGGAAATTCTATGAACCATGTGATCTGTTTAGGGCAAATTTTTCAGCTTAAAAAAAAAATGTTTCTGGGGGCAGCTAGGTGACGAAGTGGATAGGGCACCGGCCCTGGAGTCAGAGGGACCTGAGTTCAAATCCAGCCTCAGACACTTGACACTTACTGGCTGTGTGACCCTGAGGAGGTCACTTAACCTCATTGCCTAGCCAAAAATTTTTAAAAAAAGTTTCTGTTTGTGGAGAGCTAAACAGATTAACTATGTTTGAGCCACACTTAGAGACATTCTAATAATTAGTCCTAATGATACAGTAATGCAGTTCCTACATCTCAGATCTGATATTTGTGTCCATATCCACAATTCATGGTGTCCAAAAAAGATAAAGAAATAAGAGCTAAAAGGTCACCTAAAAAGACTGGACAGAGTCTCTATCTCTATACATCAGGCAAAGAGAAACAACTTAATGGCGTAAAAGGTCACTGCTTCTTACCCAACTCTGTGTGTGTGTGTGTGTGTGTGTGTGTGTGTGTGTGTGTGTGTGTGTGTGTGTGTGTGTGTGTGTGTGTGTGTGTGTGTGTGTGTGT